CGGTGGGGCCAGGGGGCGGTGTGGCGGCGGCGGGTGGTGGGGCAAGGGGACGGCAAGGGGAGGGGGGGCGACGGGGGAGGGGAGGTAGGGCGACGGGGCGAGGGGAGGTGGGGCAAGGGGCGGCGAGGGGAGGGGGGCGACGGGGCGAGGGGAGGTGGGGCTCGGCATTACTAACAATTTTTTTTCAAAACTACTAATGGCGCACGGTGGGTTTGGTGCGCCATTACTATGTCAACTAGTAATGGCGCACTGTACAACGGTGCACCATTAGTAACTATATTTTTAAAACTACTAATGGCGCACCAGAACATGGTGCGCCATTAGTATATAGTAATGGCGCACCACATGCCTGGTGCGCCATTAGTGGCCATATCATCTATAGCCCTTTTCCTAGTAGGGGTTAGTGCGTATAGGCCAGTGGCCTGACTCAGATCAAATACCAAGATCTCATTAAGCGTGTTATTATGAAGTAACCACGGACGCCGACCAGGGCCAGGCCCACATCTCGCCTAGGCGGTCTCAACCTACCCTGTCGCTCCGCCTCAAAGTAACAGTCAGGGGCCGTCGGGAACCCAGGCCCACCTCTACCGAGATGAAGCCACCTGTCCTTCCAGCCCCCACATCGAAATCACCTTCGGGTACTCAACGAGCTGACCCGACTTTAGTCACCATCTGTAAAGTATATGTATGTATAGTATATACCCGTGATCATCTCCCGAGTGATCACGGCCCAATAGTATAGCAAGGCAGACTGACAAGAATGTAGGGCCAATGATGATATACTAGCATCCTATACTAAGCATTTAGGATTGCGGGTAAGGTATCAATGATTGTAGCAACAATGACAGGCTATGCAACAGAATAGGAGTAACCTAACAGTAACATGCTACACTACTCTAATGCAAGTATAGAGAAGAATAGGCAATATCTGGTGTTCAAGGGGGGCTTGCCTGGTTGCTCTGGCAAGAAGGAGGGGTCGTCAACACCGTAGTCGAACTAGGGGTCGCCGGCAGTCTCGGGGTCTACCGGAAAGTAACGGAAGGGGAACATAATAAATAACAGAGCAATCAAAGCATCACAAAGCGTAACATGGCAATACGCGGTGCTAGGTGTGCCCTAACGCGGTAGTAGGTGATACCGACGAAAGGGGGAAACATCCGGGGAAGTATCCCCGGTGTTTCGCGTTTTCGGACAGATGAACCGGAGGTGAAATGTTGCAGGTTCACTATGCTAGGGACGCGTGGCAAACGAACAGGCTGCGTATCTGGATTCGTCTCGTCGTTCTGAGCAACTTTCATGTACACAGTTTTTCCATCCGAGCTACGGTTTATTTTATATAATTTTTAAAAAAATAATCATTTTTAGAATTTATTTAATTATTTTAAATCAACATTATCCAGGATAGTGTATGCTGACATCATCATGACGTCAGCATGACATCAGGAGTCAACAGGGTGTTGACTGGGTCAAACTGACGTGTGGGGTCCGTTAGTCATTGACTGTTTAGTTAAATAACAATAGTTAATTAGGTTAATTAGATAGTTAATTGGTTAATTAAGCGACATTAGTTAAGTTAATTAATTATTAAATTAATTAATTTATTTATTATTCTTTTTTTACTTAACAGGGGCGTGGGGCCCCCTAGTCAGTGGCTCAGAGGGCCACCGCGGGGCGGGTGCTAGCGGGCGATGATGCCCAGCCCGTTTGGGCGCTTGCCCAGGACGACAGGGGGCGACGGCCAGAGACGAGGCCGCAGCGAGGGCGCTGCGGGCGATCGACGGCGAGCGGCGCCAACGAAGGGTGGCGCCGGTGATGTAGAGCAGCAACAAGGGGTTGGCCACGACGCGGGGGCGCGGGCAGCATGAGGAGCAGGGAAGGCGACGGAGCCGAGGGCGCCGGCGACGGGGCGCGTGAGCGGGGTCGAGCGCTGGCACGCGCGTACTAGGCGGCAGCGAGCAGAGACGTCGCGAGCTCGCGCGAGGTCAGCAGGCGTGCGGCCAAGGCGTTGGAGGGACCGTGGCGGGCGGTGCGAGTGCGCGCACAGGAGCAGAGCTCCGGTGTGGCCACGAGAGGAAGCGGGGCGAGGGAGAGAGGAGGCCAGGGCCTCACCATTCGGTGTAGGGACAAGGCAGCGGGGCGCGAGGTGGTTGATGGGGACGACAGCGATGGGGAGGCAGTCCGGTGGGAAGGAGGAAGCAGGCCAGTGAGGTAGTCCGGTGAGGTCCTCGGGCGGCGAGGTGGCCGCGGTGGCAGCCGACGGGGTCGAGTCCCCAAGCCCCGATCCGATCTGGATCGGGGGAAAGAGGG